TCTAACTAAAAGTTAAAACAACAGAAACTATAACTCAAATCAAAGCGGTCGATTCTACTGCCAAATAGCAATGTTAAGGATAACACATTTATGAATTGTTTTCTTTTTTTTAAAAAAAAAAATTTTGAGAGGAATGAGAAGAAGAAAATGGTGAGAAAGAGAATGAGACCGGGAAAAGAACAGAGTTGAAGACTAACCAGGTGGCCTTTGTGCCCTCAGATGATTGCCGACGTTGCTTCAGTGAAAGGGGAGAGGTGAGATTGAGATTTGAGAGCGATGGAAAAGCGAAAACTCAGTTTAAAATTAGGGTTTATCAAATACACTGGCGTTTAATTCGAAAAGGCATAGAGGAGAAGGGTGAATTTCACGAACCTCCCTGACCTTTGAGGGTTTCGCACGAAATCCTCATGAATTTTTTTATCTCACCAAAAAACCCCTCAAATTTGAGTAGGAAACTAATCAGAACCACCTTTATAGGAGTGGGATGGTTTATACATAGATGGGGATGGTTTATCCGTTCATACATAGATGGATCAGCCACAATTCTCACACTTATCCTTTTAACCACTCATCATGGACTGTATATTTTATGGGGGTATTCTGATAGAATATTTACTCCTTAACTTTGATTGTCTCACAACATCCCCTAGAACTTTCAAAAATTCTCCACAAACCCCTGCATATAAGCATGAAATGACCAAAATCTCTGTTGTAAGGGGGTGTTAGTCAATTAGAATATTATCAGAAGAAGTGGAATAATTATAAAAGTGGTACACTTTTTTGCAAAGTCGGATAATTTAGTGAGACTAGTTGCGATGCACGTGATCATCTATCACGGTTTATAGCTTTTTATAAATACTAGTATAGTGCACGTGCGTTGCACGTTGTCGGATTAATTTTATGTTTAGCTTTTTTATAATAAGTTTGGTGTTAGATGTAATTTGAGAATATTTTGCTATTTTTTATCATTAAAATCCTAGAGTAAATATAATCTTTTATGAGGTTTATTTGTAACATTTCAAGGTCCTTTCCGCAAATTTTATGGCATATCTCTAAAATTATGAAGTTTCAAGGTTGTTTTAAAAATTTAAAGGTTTACTCTATAAATTTTTTTTATAAACAATTTATATTCATATATATATTGAATTTGCACACTTATTATTCAGGGAATATGTACAGTTAATTAGACAAACAATTTATTTAGGTAAGAATATAGATTTTTTTTAATAATATCCTCTCGTATATCCAAGACTTTTGATATTTAAATTTCGTTGGTTTCGATCCAAAAATATTTGAATTTCTTTATGAAAAAGTATCCTATTATGTTTATAAAAAACATGCTTTAACTAACCTCTTTGAATCACAAATTGATGCTTCTGTGTCCTCGTATTTTCTGTTATTTCTTTGGCAAGATTTGGTAGGATTGAAGCTATATATGGAACATATTTATATGAGATTTGACTTATAACTGATTTTTAGTAATAATGTCTCACAAAGTAATTATTGATATTATTGAAACGTTTTAGCTCTCCCTATTAACCGTTTTTCCTTAATGATAGTGGCTAATAATGATAGTGCCAACTATTATTGTCATATATAAAAATGTTCAGTAATTTGAAATTTAAAAAAGTCTGTTCACTCAAACTCCCATAAAACTCGCACTTAATTTCTCCTTATTAACCGTTTTTCTTTAATGATAGCGGCTAATAATGATAGTGCCAACTATTATTACCATATATAAAAATGTTCAGTAATTTGAAATTTAAAAAAGTCTATTCACTCAAAGTCCCATAAAAGTCGCACTTAATTTCTCTAAATTTTTGAAATGCTTAATCAAATTTTTTTAATAAATGGAATACATAAATACTTTACAAATAAAACTCAATTTCACCTGCTAAATATGTTCACTTCTGATTACCTTTTGATTGTATATATAATAGTAATAATAAATTAATAGTATAGAGATCAAAAGAGATGTAAAACTGATCTTGTTGTTTTTTTTTAATGGCTAAGGGGGGAGTTTGCAGGTGATTGTGGTAAAGATGAATCAAATCAGTGAGTTACAAAGGCAAGTAGAAGCATCGGGGAGTTTGCAGGTGATTGTGGTAAAGATGAATCAAATCAGTGAGTTACAAAGGCAAGTAGAAGCATCACTATTAATATATCGTAAAAACTAATGATTTACACGGAGGTTGGTGAGCCACAACCCAACATGGTAAAGCTTGAGCTCACAGTTCGATAGTGACGTGTAAACTTTATCTCTTTGTTCACTATTTTGTAATTATAATTTTAATAGTTATTATTATTATTTGAGATTTGAATTGGTAGATTTATGTACTCATGTGATATTCTTTAGTATTCTACATTTAGTTTTATATTTGAGATTTGGATTGCTAGATTTCTATAATCATTTGATATTCAATAGAAAACTGTTATGAGAGAGTGAAGTGTAACATGTTAATAAGAATTTATTTGAAAAACCGTTATGAGCGAGTGAAGTGGAACAAATTAATGAGAATTTATTTGAAAAATTGAAGGTTATGAAAGACTGAGTATATGCAAGTGTCATCATGTATGTATAAATGGATGGATGGATGTGTAGTCAATGGTGATGTAATTAAAAATTGGGTATTTGAGGGTTTCATGTATGTATGGATGGATATGTTGGAGGGCATTTTGGGTAGAAATGTTTTAACATGGCAACCCACTTTTATAATAGTATTAGATTTTTATTGCAAAAGTTATATAACTCAGAAGCTGGACATAAATAGCTACATAGTTTTCCTCTCATGACAATAAAATCAACACCAACAAATCAAAACAATCCAAAAACAATAAAAAATTATCCTAACCTCAATTTCATTTGCATCTCTCAAATACTTCTTCATGGATCTGAAAAGTATTACTTATGTTAGTAATATGAAAGAAAATTATATAGCTTTAAGATTTAGCAGAGAAAAAAAACTTAGAGGACTTGGAAGGGCATTGAATGTTGAGGGATATATAATTTTATTAAAAACTTAATAAGATATGATTTTTACTAATTGGTTACGTAGAAGACTGACATATGATAATTTCATTATGAATAAATACCAAAAGCCAATCTTGACTAATAAATTGAAGTTTACATTAGATCCTCCGAATTCTTAATTTATCTTTTTTTTTTCTTTGTAAGTTTACTCTAACTAAACTTTTTCCTCTATTTGAAGTTTTTAATGAGACAAAGCTTCTCTTCTCTGCAATTAGACGCCAAATTACTGACTAAAATAAAAAAACTAAGCTTCGTTCATGAACAAAGCATTATCTAGAGCTTAGTGCATTCTCCAAAGAATTTTCTAATTGGATGGCTAATATGACACTTCTGAAATTCATTAATTATAAAAATTACAATTTCAAAAAAAAGAAAGTCAAAAATTATCAAACTGGTTGTAACCAATTCATAAAAAGAAATTACCTCCCAACCAAAGTGTTATCTAGAGATTAGTGCATTGTCCAAAGAATTTCCCAATAGGACGATTAATATGACACTTATGAAACCTCTTGATTATATAAAAATTACAATTTCAAAAAAAAGGGAAGTTGAAAATTTTCAAACTAGGTATATTAAAAGAAATTACCTCCACGAACATACTTAGGATGTCTGTGTAAAGTTAGAGGAGGATATATTTGAATAATATATCTACCCATTTAACCTACAAAAAATTAGTTTATAATGCATAATTTTGAATTAAAATATTACCTAATTGCTAAAAGAGCTCATAGCAAAAGAAAAAACTATATACAAAATTATTTTTTGATGTAAAGAATGTAAAACATGATTAAGGTTGAGCATGATGCCTCAGGGTGAGTACAATGACTCAAGAGCCGACTATGGTGGCTTGGGTGACGATGGTGCCTTGAGGGTCCCGGTGACTCAGGATGCGTATAATTACTTGGGCCAGTGTGATGATAACTTGATATTTATCTATATGATGAACTAAGAATTTTGTTGCCTCCTCTCAATTTTTTCATACATATATAGCCACGAATAAGGTCTCTTGGGTAGATGCAAAGCACGAGAATACTGAGATACTTAGGTTGGCTTTTTTTAGCTTTGATGATGCTTGAGGGAGAGAAAAGAATTGATTTGAAATGAGGAGATGATCACTAGGTTAATGGGAGGGAATATTAGCTGATGATATTTTTAGGAGTTGAATTTCCATGGGGTTTTTGTTGGTGGATTGATGATATGTATATAGTATAACTGAGTTAGTTAATAAGGTTGGTTGTTTGCATATATATCTCTTAATAATGAATGTTTATAAAAAAAATACCCCATAAATCTTATTATTTACAAAACTACCCCTCAAATAATCAACTTTGTAAAACATACTCCTTAAATCAACAAATCATCAACTTGGTCTAAAATTTGATTCTTCTGTTGATAATTTTTATGTTACGGTTACAAATTAACTTATCAATATTGATTGTTAATTGCTTTGAGGGTATTTTTTTCCAAAATTGATGATTTGAGGGATAATTCTGCAAATATTGAGATTTAAAGGGTAACTTTGCAAATACCCATGATTTAAGGGTTATATATGAAAATAACTCATTCAAATAGAAAACATTATGTTTTTGAACCTTCAAAATTTATTATCAACATTTAGTTCATGTGAGATGATAAACTTAGCTTAACTAAAGATAATCTTTCTAAATTTTAGTTTTATCATCATCATTCAAATCTTTCATCAACTAATAATTTGGATGAGATGATAAACTTAGTTTAACTAAGGATAATCATTCTAAATTTTAAGTTGGTGCTAAAATTTTAACTATTTATTGATAATTTTTACATTGAGATTACAAATTAGTTTATCGATATTGATAATTAATTGCTTTGAGGGAATTTTTTTCTAATACTCATGATTTGGGGGTAGTTTTGCAAATACTGAGATTTAGGGCATTTTTGCAAATATTCATGATTTAAGGAGCATATATGGAAATAACGTATTAAAAATGATTATGTTTTTAAACCTTCAAATTTTATCATCAACCAATGGTTTAAATGAGATGATAAACTTAGTTTAACTAAAGATAATATTTCTAAATTTTACTTTATCATCATCATTCAAATTTTTTTATCAACTAATAATTTGGATGAGAAGATAAACTTAGTTTAATTAAGGATAATCTTTCTAAATTTTAATTTTATTATCATTATTAGGTTGTGATAACAAACATTTTGAATGATAAATTTCCTTAAGCAAACTCTCATAGGATTGAAAGGAGCGGGAAAATTTCAAATTTTAATGTATAATAACAAGTCATGTCATAAATATGTCATCATAAATATAAACATAAATCTATCTATCTATCTACCCTTTAAAAGAGGAAGTATTAGAAAAACTTTTCCAACCCCAAAATACCATTCAACTATTATAAAT